CCCCCCCCCCCCCCCCCCCCCGGCCCTCTGCTCTCTCTCTCTCTCTCTAAAACAAGAGTGCAATAAATTTAAAATATTAAGAGAGCAGGTACGGTAGCGTGGTGAAAAACATGAATAGATAAGTTCTTACATGTCGTTCGTTGTAATATTTAAGAATATGCGTTTAGAAATCACGACGTGGGTTGACTGTTTCAGGGAAGAAAACATATGCTATAAGATGTTGAGCATACCTTGAACTTACATGGACGTTGGTGGTTTATTTAAGAATGAACATATTTTGTATTTTGATAGCTATCATAGTTCTGAAATGTTAAATATAATTGATGTTATATGTTTTTCAATTACACATTTGTTATATTTCAGTGTCTCTTGCAGCCCTTGAACTATACTATTTTCACAGATATTTATTTTTGGCAGAATATCATGTTGTGTGTTGATAACCCAGAACAGCCCTTCCCCTTCATGAACTTGGGCCGACGCCAATCAATAGTGCTTCAAAATCTAGAATGAGCCCTTGGGGACAAATCTACACGGCTCTTCTTCTTCTTCTTCTTCTTCATTGTCCCTCCTGTCTCGGAATGACTAATCCTTTGTTGCTGCAGCTGATCTATGGTAACATGTCAACTTGTGCCTTCTTTCCATTCTGACTCCCTTACACGTATTGAATTGAGCCACAAATAAAATTCAATGCTAATTGTGTGGCTGTATGTCAATCTGGGGCAGTGGGTGTGATCGACGGTGATCGGATCAAAGGCTCATTTCATCATTATATTTTATCTTGAAAACAATGTCTGCCCCTTCATTTTTTCCCAACTCCATCTTGAAGACAACACCTTTTACCGCTGCTGCAAGAGATCAAGAAACAAGCATCTTGTCCAGCAATAATTATGTTTTGATCATTTTGAGTTAACTGTGTTTAATTGTAAGAAACAAGTAGGAGAAATTAAGAAGTCGTGAGAACGGACCCAATTCATGCAAGTCCAGGGCCGCAAGCAATGCCATGGATCCGCAAATTCTTAGAGCCGGGACCCATGGATATGCTATCATCTCCTGTTTTTATCATAATGCTGGTGCTGGAAACTCCAGTTGAGTATTAAATTTTTAAATTTATGATCATAACAAAATATAAAGTGTACCAAATAATCAAACGGAACCTTAGCCAGCAAAGAAAAATAATTTATCGGGCAAAACAAACGCCCCCTTGACCTGAGATAAGGCCAGTGTAATTGGAATAAAAAAATTAAACAAAGCAGGGTCCAATTAACCTGCTGCCATTAATCCAACGGTATTTCTGTAGAAAACAACAAAGGAAGGGGCTAAACTCAGAAAAAGGCAAAACTCCCCCCCACCTCTCAAATTCAAATCAAATCAGTCAACTCCCTGCCAAAAAAAAACTCATCCATTCACGCCCTTTTTGGGGTTAGATCTCAAACTGTAACTCTCTCTATTCAATTCTCTCGCCAAATGAACCAATCATCAAAAACCCACAAGCAAAAACGCCAAACTGGATTACCAGAACAACCCACCAAGACCCATAGGAGAAAGAAACAGCCTCAGCATCAGCCAAGCTTTAGAAGAAACCCACTTCAAGATCTCAATAATGGTGGCATTGATAGCACCAGCAATGCTTCTTCTTTATCCTCCATTGAAGCTCCTAAGGGCTGTCTCAGGTTCTTCCTCTCTCACTCTTCTTCTTCCAGGACTGCAAAAACTCCTTTCAATAATAGCAGTAATAATCAGAGACTGACAAAAGTAAAGCCCTTCTCCTCAAAAACCCCCATGTCAGCTCCTGATATGATGAGACCCACAAAGGAGAACTCATCAAGGCAGAACCTTTTTGGGAGACCCATTTCAAAAAAGGTGGAGAAGGTGAAGAGAAACCATCCTCCATGTCTGTACCAATGGCAATCTGGTAAGAAACGCACTTGTTCTAGAAATGAAATTGCTAATGCTAAAGTTTCTTCCTTTTCGGAATCAAGTAGCAGTCTTGTAAATAATAAGCTGAAATCTGGGTCTGGAGAGTTGAAAAAGGTGATAATTGATGGAGTATATGAGGGTAGTGAAGCAAATTTGACTCCTTTGTGTAAAGTGGCCAGTGGGTCTGGTTTGAATCTCGGAGTTGATGGTAAGGTTATGAATGATGATTTTTATGAGAAATCATCAAATTGTAATACTGACTCAAAATCAACAAGTAGCGCTACCAAGACACCTCCAGTTCAGCCCTCAGTATCACCAGAGATACAATGTGGATCATCTATGAAGCTAATGACAGGGAAACCGATTACTCCTGCTACTTGTTATGGTGCTGGTCATGTTGTGTCTGGGGTCACTGACAAGAGGAAGTGCAGGCCTAGAGGGATACTCGCTTGTGGAGAAGCTATAGCACTTGGTAGTTTTGATGGTGATGAGGATATTGAACAAGTGAATGATATAGCGCTTGTTGAGAATTCTGCTGTTTCTGTGTTGCCTTTGCCTATTGAAGCTTCAATGCATTGGATTTTATCACCCTGCGATGAGGCGGATGAGGACCAGAAGGAGAATTCTCGAAACAGGTTATGCGGTTTTCAGAGATTGGAGGTGCGTGCCATGCACAATTCTCCTGCTTCAATTTCATCTGGCTATGGTGGCTTTTCACCGAATTTGTGCAATACAAGTGCTAACAGAAGTATCTCTACTGTTAGTGCTGGGAGGAGGAGGAGTGCTTCTTTGCTTTCTCCCAGTGAGCTCCCCCTTCCCGAGTTTCAAGGATTTCTGGGAACTCCTTCATGTGACGACTTTGTTGTTTCACCTTTAGAAGAAGAGACGAATAATAGCCGTGGCCTAGATGGAGAGAATTCTCCATTCTCCATAGGCTCCTTGGGTAGCGGGAATGTAATCCAGACTCCCCAATCTGATTCTAGCTCAGATAGACGAGTTGGCGCATCTTGGTTACAAGTAGATGGTAATAGAAAGAAATGTACCTTTGATTCTGAACTCAATTCAGTGGCTGAGCATCTTCAGATGACTAGTTTATCTCCCAAGAGCTATGCATCAATATGGGATCCAACCAATTCAAGTTTTCGATTTGATTCTCTGACCATGCCTTCCAATTCAGTCGATCTTTCTAAGTTTCACAAAATTTTGGATGATCGTGCTTCTTGGTTTTCTAATTCTACAATCGAGAATGTATCACAATCTCAGATGAGAATATCTTGGAGGGAAGGATTGGCAAGTCGTATTTTTGAGATGGATGAGTTTGATTGTTGTAGATACATGTCTGATGAAGAGCATGATGGCAGTGCCTGCAAAATTGATTGCTTAAAATCCCATAAGAGTCCCGAGCTCAATGTTGATGGAGCAACT